CATTCAACTAGGACTGGTAGGAGGTCTACAAGTAAAGAGAAACTTTGGACAAAAAAGTAAATTCACAAAAAAGAGACAGAAAATCCCTTGTTCCTCCAACTACAACTCTAAAAATAAAGACACCAAAATAGAATTCACCTTTTTACATTTGTTACAATAGTTTTCTTATTGCTGTAGGTGTAATAACACTGTCTCTATGACATCTTGTTCACAAACCTTCATCACATCAACCTTATAAGATGTAAATTGAGATTTCCTAGTGATCAATCATAGAAAGATTCTCTATGGCACGGGCGAGCTCATCAATTGTAGTGAGCATTTAATCACCCAAAGTTAAGATCTAAAACATTTATATCCAGTCTATTTGGAGGTTGAAACAACAAACTTATTTCAAATCTGTATGTAGCCTTAGCTTCAAAGTATTTGTAAATTTTTTGATCAATGAGTTTTGTGCTCTCTTGTTGATTAGTATTCTATTGATTGTACCATGTTGTGACCTTTTAGCTCGAATAGCTGGTTCCATCTTGTCAGTCAAACATTATAGCATGACATATTTGTGTTGGACAAAATTGGCTGTCAGCTTGTCCGAATGCAGCAACTACCAGATTCTCCCCATTTTTTGTTTGTTTCGATTCTTATTGTAAATTTAAATATTTCAATCTCACTGGAAAACTCTTGATTGCTAGATTTATTAAATCGCGGCTAAGCTAGAAACTTTTGTGATGGACCATTTGCTTTTGCAAGTATTCAAAGTTTTCATTTTCTTCAGGAGTGAGATAGTGTGTTTCCATTGATTTGGACTTGTTAAAAACATGGTTAGACTTAGAAAATATGAGGAAGAAGAACTCCGAAAATATGAGGAAGAAGGAATATATTTCTGTTATATTCAAAACTTCTTATTTTACAAGACCAAATGACACTCCTTATATAGGAGATATTACAAACATCATTATAACCCATTATATGCCACTTACATATTATATATTACCACTATCTACCACTATCATATTATATACATGCCACTATCTTATTATATGCATTAACACAAATTTCCAGCAAAATCTCTACCTATAACCAGGTTCTCTCTTACGAGTATCTCCTGTAAGATCTCATCCATTTGTTTCTAAAAATCCCTCTTAGTCTGATCATATAATCCTACTTGAGGGGCGTATGCACTAATAACGTTCACTATATTCCCTCCAATAAGTAGTTTAACTAACATAATCCTATCCCCTTTCCTAATGACCACCACTATATTCTCCACAAGGCCCTTGGCAATTATGATTCCTACTCCATTCCTATGTCTATCCTTACCACTATAATACAGTTTAAAACCGGTATCCTCAATTTTCCTAACTTTCTCACCCATCCTCTTCGTTTCTTGTACGCAAGCTATACTAACTCTCCTCCTAATCATAACATCTACCAATTCCATCATCTTACTAGTTAAGGTTCCTATATTTCAAGTAGCTAACCTAAACCTGTAGTCTTGGACTAGCTTCTTTAACCACGCTCGTCCAGAGAAACGCGGGAACCTTTGCCCATTTTTCACCGCACCAAGGCGTCGATGCGGCGCCCCTTGCTCACTTTTTGAAACACTCAGAGGCAGGCGCAACGCGTCACTTGAGGGGAACGACCTAGCATTTATTGTCATAAGGGATCCGAGCGGCATTTTTTACATGTTGGTTGTCAGCTACCTAACACACAACCCTCCTCCTTAACCTGAGTTTGGGACCGGCAGAGTCGAAATAGGTGGTATGGGAGAAGTTATTTTCTAAACTACTTGAACTGAAAAGAAAGATCTATTTAAGCAGCTATTATTTGGTTTATACTGCCCTTATGTTTTTTTCTTTTGAGAAATTCAGCATGCTTTTATGTGCTCATTCATACATGTGACATTAGTGAAGCTTTAAATTCTTCTAACACTTGAGTTTAAAGCATGCAAATTTATGTTTTCTACATCTTCAGCAACAGGATGCTTGGACTCACCATCTTTTAAACCGCGTTCGTGGGCCAAAAATTTATCTATCTTCGAGATGCAATGTTTTCCGGTGCCGATCGTTTCTAGTACCAAGCGGAGGCAATGGGATTCCTGTTTTAAAAACTGCTGCCACAGCACTAACGAGGTATATATATATATTTTGTTATTTTTATTTTTAGTTCTTAATCTACTTGTGTCAGTTCACAGTTGCATTGCATTCATGCCATGGATTATACAGCTCTTCTTTTTGGATAAATTTATTCATTTTCATGACTATCTGTGTTGTGTTTATAAGCTCACTATGTACAACTTACCATTGTGAGATGCAGATCTTCTTTTTTCTTTTTGGGTCGTGGAACTCATGGTGTTCGCAATTTTACTTTTTTTTTCCCCTTTCCCCGAGGCTTGTTGAGATAGCATTTGATAATGAATGAAACGTAGGCTATGATTGGTATGCCGGAATGGGCTGCGTATTTCATCTTTGCTTTCTCTTTCTCTTGTTTGGTAAGACTTACGCAAGTGAAAATAATCATTCAATTGGAATGAATATTCCAACAAAAAGTGGGAATACTTATTCTTTCTCCTCTAAATTAGGGAAAAGACATTCCATTCCATCATAGAATCATTCTAAAACATTCCATGGTTTTTCCTTTCAGGTTTCTTTCTTTTCCCATTTTTTTAAGTTTTTATTATGATCTCTTCATGGCTATGCAGATCATGTAATTCTTTACATGGAAGCCCCGTTGTACTTCAGTTGGTTCCAGCAGTTGGTATAATTGTGTTTGCTGCATGGGGTCTTGGGCCGCTTATGCGTCTGACCAGGACTCTTTTCCTTCATGTATGTGTTTTTTTTGGTTTTTTGCTTATATAATCTTTTGCCCAGCATTGTGTTTACTTTTGTTCCTCTCAGCAATTGTTGCATCCCTTAATTGGCTGATGCTTCCCTTGATGACAATTTCTTGCAGAAGAGTGACAGTAGTTGGAACAAGAGTAACACATGCTATGTAATGATCTCGTATTTTCAACCTCTTCTACTATGGACTGGAGCAACACTCATCTGCAGGTTTCAGTACTTTCATTTCTTTGTTGCAAGCAGTTAATGTTCTACTTATTACTCAACCCTCATTGCTAGCTTCGTTGATACTAACTACAATACTATTTCCTTCAGAGCATTGGATCCAGTAATTTTACCTACAGAAGCAAGCCAAGCTATCAAGCAACGACTTTTGAGTTTTGTTCGATCATTATCTACGGTGCTAGCCTTTGCATACTGTCTATCAAGGTGGTGTAATTGCTCTCACAATCATATTTCTTCCGGAACTGGGAAATATGGTTATCAAACTATTTAATTTAAGTGTTGATTAAGCATCGAGTGGCTAATTGATGGATTGTTATGGGGTATCTTTTTCAAAGATGATAATTATTCTAAGATAATCAAAGATAATAATTTTCTTGAGTTAACCAAAGAATAAATTGAAGCGCTGAAAATTTGTTGCAATCAACCTTCTTTGATTACTGAAACTCCACAAACATTCAGGTGTAGCTTTTTAAGATTTTTTGCTTTTTGACAGCTGCCCAGTAATTTTTTTGTTTACCACAGTTTGTGTTGAGCTTGTTGAATTTCTGTTCACTTCTACATGATGTTCAAATACATTTATATTCTGTTTTTGCAGCTTCATCCAACAAACTCAAAAATTCGTAATGGAGACAAATGACTCTAATGATGCAAGAAATGTATGTTCTGTTACTTCAAAATTTCAATTGCTTATCATATTTTATTGGTAAAAGATGAAAAAAGATTTGAAGTTAGTTTTAGAACAGAAAATGACTTTTTATTGACACACTTGCCATAAACACTCGCAATGATCATAGATTTTAGCGAGAGTATTGAGGACTGGTATTTATGAACTTGCAAATGAAAACCTAGGCTACAATCTTATCAAATAGCTGCTAATAGTGTAGTACAATTACCAGGAATGACATCAGTTACTGGGTTCTCTATTATTCTGTTCTGATCAGTTTATTTCTTATGCTTTCTTCTGAATCTATTTGAGGATATATCTTATTTACAGATTAAATTAGTTGATTGACCTTGATTGATGCATAATTTCATCCTTTGTTCTGACATTTGATTTTTTAATAGTTGCCTGGCTGTTTTGGTTAGGGAGCTATGAATCAGTAATCTAGCTACCTTGAGTATGGCGCCAGAGAACCTTAAACTCTCCTTACCCTTCAACAATGGTTTCTTGCTTTTGCAGATGGGCTTCCAATTTGTTGGGAAAGCTGTATATACTGCAGTATGGGTTGCTGCTGTTTCATTGTTTATGGAATTGCTTGGTTTCTCTACCCAGAAGTGGCTTACTGCTGGGGGTCTTGGCACAGTATTGCTCACCCTTGCTGGACGTGAGGTACAAACTTTTTCTGATTCATTGCATTCTAGATTTTTTTTTTTTTTTTTTTTTTTTTAGTAAGTATTGAACCGAAGCATTTTTATCTACATATTATGTGTGTACTAGTACAAAATTTTGCAAGATCAATCAACATATAAAATATGATCAAACTTTTATGTACATATTTTGACACATCTTTTGTAAAGTTTTAACACACTGGGTCATGCTTTACGAAACAAAATCATCATTTCAGTGATTTCTGTCTTTACTTGTACCTCAGAAAAAGGAGATGTAGAGAAAAGAAGCTACAAAATTAGCTACAAATTCATATATCTCATTCCTACAGTTGCAGCTACTCACATGAACATAATGATGTGATTTTTTGTAAAATGATAGCAGGTTAGAAATTGACAGACTATTCTAATTAGTATTTTAAATTGTTTCAGCATGTGGGCTGGTGGTCCCCAACAATCATACGAGGTGATGATCGGGAAGCGATTCACATTCCAAACCACAAATTCACAATGAATGTGGTGAGGAATCTTAGCCAGAAGACTCATTGGCGCATCAAAACCTACCTTGCTATCAGTCACTTGGATGTGAATAAGATTAATGTGAGGAATGATTTTGATTCATTTGTTTGTCAACAATAGATTGTGCATCAAAAAGCACACTTCTGTTTCTTGCATTTTATGAAGTGTTGTTGGTCATCACTTCTGTTGGCAGAATATTGTAGCTGATATGCGCAAAGTTTTGGCCAAGAATCCTCAAGTAGAACAGCAAAGGTTGCATAGAAGAGTGTTTCTGGAAAATATTAATCCTGAGAATCAATCTCTTATGGTTAGCATCTTCTATTGCCCGCTTTAACTTTTGCTAACTATGCTAGGAACAAATAAGATTTTCACAGGATAAGACAGAAGTGTGGGACCTATATAAGTGGGATCAACATGTGGGGCCCGCCTTTTGTCCCACACATGTCCCATTCTATGAAAATCTTCTGTGGATCTAGGCTTTCTCTTTACTGAATGTACAACTCGCTGAGCAAGATGGATTTTTCATAAAGTTACTTGATTTTTTTGGGTTCTTGAGTTACTAAAACTCAACATGGACATGGAATTCTTTGTTTGAATTGCATCCTATGGAAACAATGTGTTACAGACTCATGGCTGCTTAGATGTCTTAGTTGACAATATATTCGGATGATATGCACACAAATTGTATTTCGCTCAAACTACACATTAGCAAAAACATCCCCTTGACATCACGGGCATATATTTTTAGTTATTTGCAAAAAAAGAAAGGTCACTGATACATGGAAATTTGCATTAAATTTATGTTCTTGATTGCTCTCATTCAGAAATGGGTAAAAGCACTCAATTGTGCTCTTGGAAATGTGGAATCAGCTATATTGCTTTCCTATTACTGGTTATATATAAATGGATGGTTTTTCTATTGCACGAAGTGTTGACATTTTCCATTTTTGCGTATATTGTGTTACAGATTTTGGTGTCTTGCTTTGTGAAAACCTCACGTTTTGAAGAGTACCTTTGTGTCAAGGTAAGTGACATTCATTGCAATTAGCTTTTTGTGATTGTGAATGGATGGTTCATGCAACTTACAACTAAAATATATCATGAAAATTATAAAAATCAACTATGGAGGATGAAATTTATTGGTATCATTATTGTTGTTCAGTGATTGCGCTTGCCATTTTGTGAGCCTCAAATTGGGGAGATTTATTTTTAATTTTTTTTGTTTCCTGTTTTATTTGATACTCAGTCGACCTCATTGTTTTTTTACACATATTTCAGGTCTAGCTTTATGCATTATAATTTTTTCTGGACAGTTATTTTGGTTCCTTTTTTTTTTTTTTCCATCATCATATTTTGTAAAATGTGGTTGGTTGATTAGCCCACTTAAGACCAATTGATTAATGAAACAGGAAACAATAATGTTGGATCTTCTGAGGGTTATTAGTCATCATCGGGCACGGCTTGCCACACCAATCCGCACAATTCAGAAAATACATACCAATGCTGATATTGACAATGTGCCAATCGCTGGAGCAGCTGCTGATAACCGTCCATTGCTTTTGATCGAGCCCTCTTATAAAATCAACGGAGATGATAAAGCCAAGGCTTCAACTCGTACAACAACACGCACAAATGAAGAAAAAGAAGCTCAGGTGGAAGCAGCCTCAACATCGGACTCAAAGACGGATGTCAAGGGCAGATCTACTACAATTCTTGATGAGACCAAAATAGATGATAAAGGCAAGGTTTCAGCAGCGTCGACAACCGATTCCAAAACTCCAAATCCAGGGTCAGTTGGTCTAGTCCAAGACTCAGAGAAGCAGAACTTGAAGAAAACTGCACCAGATGGGGCAAAAAAAGTGATTTCTGTTGACAAACCACCTCTTATTTCCCAAGAACCGAGCAGTGTAAAAACAGACACTCCATTCATTTCACACGGAAAGCAAGACAGTGCGAGGCCGGCTGCATCACCTTCGGTGGCTAGGCCTGCCTTGGAAGATAACATTGTTCTTGGTGTTGCGTTAGAGGGATCGAAACGAACACTCCCAATTGAGGAAGAAATAACTCCATGCACAAATGCAGAACTGAGGGAATTGGCTGCTTCCTGGAATGGGAATGGATCTACCTTGGTTGGTGTAGATAACAAAGATGATCAGATTCCGGCAAAGAAAGGTGATTGACCTGGATGAAAAGCGATCCTAGAAATGCATGAAGCTTGTGTTTTTTGAAGTTCGCATCATGCAATGTATATCTATTTTTTCGCTCAAATTCTTCGAGGATTGTAAATCATTGTTGAATTAAAGAATTTGTTGATCAACATAGCATTGGCAATCAATGAGAGTTTATTAATGTTTCAATTTGTTCTAATTCTCTAGTTGTCGTCACTGCGATGCTGTCTTCAATCTAGATACTGTAATTATTTTTATATGCAAATCAGACACCTAACACAAAACACAATACTGTTGATCTTGTTAAGAAAAATGTTATTCCAGAAACAATTCATCATGATGAGTGAACATCCATTCCATAAATGAAGAACATAATATTCGAATATTGTTTAACTGTACCGGCAACAAAAAAAGAATAGATAGATTGCAAACCCTAATGCTATGAAAAGTCACTCACACAAATTCAGGATTATATGATTTAAGCTTGACACATGCAATCACGAGCGGGATATGTATAAATGGACTGTGTCTCCTTTCTTAACCTGATTTGCCCTTGTCTGCTCTTATGCCCACCCTGTACCAATCGCTGGAACTCTGGCCACTCAATGCTGTTATTGAGGAAGACCTTGCCCAATAGCACCATGTTTGGTCTAATGGTCTTCAAGTTCTTGTATGCTCGATATCCTAGCTGGTAAATAATATTAACCAAAGTTGGATGAAATTTTGAAATTAAAAAAATTTGGATTAAGAAATTCAATCTGTTTGTGTTGCACAACAAAAATTAGGACTCAGTTTTGGCATTTAACAAAAATCCATTAACTAAATATTTTTCTAATACTATACATCCACATTAAAAAATCAGGATTCAAACAATTTATTTGGATGATCTTACCATTGCATTGTGCATATTGCCTGGAGAAGCTGAGATGAAGATGTCGCTCTGCATGCTCACATAATAATCTACAGCAGCTAATAAAGAAGCCTTTCCTTCAACCTTGGACCGCTCCTCCGTGGTAGTGAGACTTTTCTTATCCTCCATTAGTGGAAACAATTTGCGCAAAGTAGAGATCCTTGCTTCTCCACCATAAACCTGCGGGTAAAAAAATAATAATCCAGTTTCAAAAGTTTTTGAGACTACAAAGCTCATTTTTTCACTGAGAGGTACAAGACAAACCATGTATCTTCTTTGTCAAGCTCATAACAGTAGTGCAAATGTAGCTATGATGAAAATAGCTGAAATTACTTAATTCTAAACTATTTTTCCTATATATTTTAATTTTTTTGTTACTGTTTAATGTCAAATTTTATTTTTAACTATTTTCTTAAGACTGCACAGCATGGTGTTATGCACTAATGATAAAACAAAAGAGTGAATCTTCACTGTGGAAGTAGATGACAAACCTTATGGGAAGCAAGATAAAGGCTGGTATTGTTGTTGAAGCCCAAAGCTGCCAATAGCAGTCCAATCTCTTCGGGAGTGAGTGGGCAACGGCCCTGATTTCTCAATTCCTCATCAGTGTACTGAGCATTGAGGACTCTTCCCTGCCAAATCACCTTGCGGTATTTTGCAAGAGCCAATCTTTCAGCTTTACCCCCACCAAATTCACAGGCTGAATGGGAAGCCATATCCTGTACAAGGACAGGTTTGTGAAAACTTGGCTAAAAAAAACTCCAACTGAAATCTCCACCCCCCACAACCACCCCACCCAGAAGTACCAAATAAAACACAAGCCAAAACTTCTAAATGTTTGCACATAATAACTAGATGAAAAGACATCATACCTTATCAAAGCGAAGATGTAACACAACAAACTTTCCAGCTCCTTGTTTGTCAATAACATCTAATCTTTTCTCAAGGTAATTGGCTCCACCTACTCTGCTCTTACTAGGATTCCGAAGGCGATTGATGAGGATATCCCCCAGCAATTTGATGTGTGGAACAAAAACCAGTGCTTGAAAGTTGACTTTACACCGTAGGTGCTGGATGTCTGAAGATAGGTCGTCAAATGCCAAACGGTGAGAGAATGGAGCTATAGCAGCAATCCCATAGCTGCAAGAGTCAGAAAGAGCATTCCAAATCAAATCAATCATCTGATATGCTGTAAGTAAATGCATCCCTTAAGTTTTTCAGCATAAAGGCATATCTAAATTAGAAACTCTATCAGCACATATAAAAGTGTTGAATGGATAGATGAGAAGGAGAAGGAGAAGGAGAAGGAGGAGGAGAACTGAGAGAGAGAGAGAACCAGCTGCTGTATATATTATTCAAAACGTAGGGTTTCCCCCTTAACACACAACTATTTATACTAATAAGAATAAGACACAAAGACCAAAATAACCCTAACACTTAACACTCCCCCTCAAGTTGGTGCAGAGATGTCTCTCATGCCCAACTTGCAACAAATAGGGTGAAAGACTTTACTACTAAGACCCTTAGTAAAAACATCCGCTAGTTGATCTTCAGAGTTAACAAAAGGCATACATATCACATCCTTATTCAACTTCTCCTTAATGAAATGTCTATCAATCTCAATATGCTTAATCCGGTCATGTTGAACAGGATTGTGTGCAATAATAATAGCAGCCTTGTTGTCGCAATACAAAGTCATGGGATCACTGCAATCAAGCTCTATATCACTCAACAAAGATTGAAGCCACATTAGTTCACATGTCCCATGTGCCATAGCCCTGTATTCAGCTTCAGCACTAGATCTGGATACTTCTGCCTGCTTCTTGCTATGCCATGTGACTAGGTTTCCCCCTACAAAAGCACAGTAACCAGAGGCAGAGCATCTGTCATCTATAGAGCCTGCCCAATCTGCATCTGTGAATGCTTCCAACCTCAAGTGACCATGATTAGAGAATAAAATTTCTTTTCCAGGAGCAGATTTAAGATACGTCAAAATGCGATAGACGGCATCCAAATGAGTTGCACGAGGATCATGCATAAACTGACCCACTATCGCAACTGCATAGGTAATATCTAGATGAGTATGAGATAGATATATCAGTCTTCCCACAAGTCTTTGGTACCTTTTCTTTTCCACAAGCTCACCAGCCCCACTACAACAGCGATGATTAGTCTCAATCGGTGACTCAGCTGGTCTGCAGCCTAACATGCCCGTTTCCGCAAGAAGATCTAAAATGTACTTCCTTTGAGAAATGAAGATGCCTTTATCAGATCTAGCAACTTCAATCCCAAGAAAGTATCTCAATGGACCAAGGTTTTTTATCTCAAACTCCTTGGCTAACAACATCTCGAGATGGGTCACCTCCTCCTCATCATTACCTGTCACAACTATGTCATCCATATATACAATAAGCACTGTTACCTTATGTACATTGTGTTTGACAAACAATGTGTGATCGACATTGCTTTGCTGATACCCAAATCCCAGCATTGCCTTCAGGAATCTACCAAACCAGGCTCTAGGAGATTGTTTCAAACCGTATAAAGCCTTCTTCAATCTACAAACCTTTCCAACTGTAGACTGTGATGAGAATCCTGGAAGTACATCCATATATACCTCCTCCTCCAAATCCCCATGAAGAAAAGCATTCTTCACATCTAGTTGTTGTAGAAGCCATCCCAAATTAGCAGCACAGGACAGAATAGCTAGAATGGAATTCATTTTTGCTACCGGGGCAAAAGTTTCTTGATAGTCTATTCCATATGTCTGGGTAAATCCCTTGGCCACTAGTCTTGCTTTGTACCGTTCAATCGTCCCATCTGCATTGTGCTTGAAAGTGAACACCCACTTACATCCGACTGGTTTTTTTCCATTAGGTAAAGACACCAAGTCCCATGTGTTAATTTTACTCAAAGCTTGCATCTCTTCTACATAGCTACCTTCCACTTAGGATCATTGATGGCCTCCTTCCAACCCTGTGGAATACACACAAAAGAAAGAGACGAAACAAAAGCACGATATGGAGAAGACAACGAATCATATGACACGAATTTAGAAATGGAGTGTTGAGTACAGGCTCTAACCCCCTTTCTGAGAGCAATAGGAAGACTCAGATCATTAACAACAGGACTATCAACAACAGGTGAAGAAATGGACTGAGGATCATTACCTGTAGAGTCAGTGAAAACTGGTTGTGGAACTGGCATAGGAGATGATTGACTCGGTGGCACAAGAGAAGCCCGCTCTTTCTGACACCGTGAATAAGTCTTAAGATCAACTCTGTCCAAACGACCACCAATATCAATCTCATCAACAGAACTAGTAGGCTCCCCCTCACCACAAATAATAGCCCACTGATTAGAAAGGAAAAAAGACAACTCATATCCATCCTATCCGTAATCTCATCTATACCACTCTCCCCGGAGGAGATAGTGGATGACAAGGAAAAAAGGACTCAGATTCACGGAAGGTGACATCCATACTAACATACAGCTTACGAGTCTGAGGGTCATAGCATTTGTAACCCTTCTGAGTAGTAGAATAACAGGATCAAGCTTCCCACTAGTACGAGGTTAAAGATGAACAAAACAAATACTACCAAAAACCCGAGGCGGAAGGAAAAAAGTGGGATAAGTGACAGGGAGGAGCTCAAGAGAAATTTGGAAGTGGAGGACACTAGAGAGCATTGGGTTAATAAGGTAAGCCGCGGTAAGAATAACATCTCCACAAAAAGACTTAGGAACGTTCATGGTAAACAAGAGTGAGCGAGCAACCTCAAGGAAGTGGCCATTCTTGCGTTTGGCAACTCCATTCTGTTCAGGAGTGCCAACACAACTAGTCTGATAAAGAATGCCATGCTCCTCGAGATATGCCCTGAAAGCTCCATCAACATATTTAGTTCCATTATCACTCCTAAGAATTTTGATAGTAGCATTGAAGAGATTGGAAACCATTTTATGAAAATTTTTGAAGCAAGAAAAAACCTCATTTTTAGTGCGAAGTAAATAAACTCAAGTCACACGGGAATAACAATCAATAAACGTGACAAACCACCGATAACTGGAGGTAGAAACCACAGGGGAAGGACCCCACACATCGCTATGAATAAGCATAAAAGGAAAAATACGTCTTTTATTAATGGAAGGATAACAAGTACGTTTATGCTTAGCAAGCTCACAAGCATCACAAACAAAGTTATTCCTAGGACAATCTCGAACTAAAGAATCTCGAACTAAAGAAGGAAAAAGTTTCTCTAAAATACTAAAGAAAGGATGCCCCAAACGGTGATGCCATTGATGAAAAGGTGAAGGGAGGAGCTAGAAGTGCATAGAAGAGCCGGAGAGGACAAAGTTGATGCAGAAGCAGCATCCAGAAAGTACAATCCACTGTGTGCGCTACCACTGCCAATCATTTTCCCCGTAGCCAGTTCCTAAAAGACACAATGAGTCAGAAAAAAGGTTACAAAGCAATTGAGAGCAGTAGTAAGGCTACTAACAGAAAGTAAGTTAGTGGAAAAATTAGGAACATGAAGAACAGAGGAAAGCGAAAGTAAAGAGGTGCAATGAACAGAACCCTTGCTAGAGATAGAAGATAAAGTGTCATCAGCCACTCCAACTTTATCTCGCCCAGAACTAGGTGAATAAGAATGAAAAAAACTAGAAGTACCCGTCATGTGATCGGTAGCACCGGAATCAATGATCCAAGGAGATGAAGAGACACTAAGTGCACTAGCAGAAATACCTGTGTGGGCAAAGTTGGAAGAAGCAGAAGAGGAAGGAGCTAAGGTAGAAGAAGAATCAAGTCAAGCCATCAAACGTTTGAGAGTGTGAAGCTTATCCTGGGAAATAGAACCAGCATCATCCGAGGCACTAGCAGCAGTCTCAGACACATGGGCTTGAGGACGAACACTACCACTACGACCACGGCCTCGAGTAGGCTGACCATGCAACTTTCAACAGTGTTCTTTATCATGTCTATCTTTTCCACAATAATCACACTTCAACCGGTCCCGATCAACCAATGGACCCTTACCACCACCTTGAGGCGGACAAGGTGGAGTATCACGGGACTTGGGGCCAACAACCATCGCTGGCCGATCCTGAGCAGGGGCATGCACCATAGCACCACGACGACTCTCCTCCTGCTGAACTGAACCAGTGCATAAGCCTCACGTAATGTGGGAAACGGAGAGCGACCCAATACCTGAACCTGGATCTGATCATACTCCAAATTCAAGCCAGCAAGAAAATCATACACCCGCTCCTTCTCCACAGCCTGCTGAAACATAGCGGCATCCGTGGAGTAAACGGGTTGGAAACTCTAGTAGTAATCTAGCTCCTACCATAAACCACTCAACTCAGAATAGTAGACTGCCAGAGAGCGATCCTTCTGATCCAAGCCCCTAATCTTCTTTCGCAATTCATAAGCCTGTGCATCATTACCCTGTTGAGAATACATCTGAGATGTCGCTATCCAAATCTTATGATCGGTATCCATCAAGAGAAAAGTCCTACTAATGGTAGGTTCCATAGAATTGATCAGCCAGGTCATCACTAAAGCATTCTCCAAAATCTATTGAACAGATAAAGCACTGTCCTCAGTAGGTTGCGTGGTACTACCAGTAATATAGCCAGTCAAACGCCGGACGGCAATAGTAAGGCTGCAGGAGTGGGACCAAATCAAGTAATTGGTGCCATTAAGCTTGACCGGACTAATCTGGAGAGAAGGACTATCACCCAGAGTCATACCACGACTCAGTCCACTATCCTCTTTGCCCTTAGAGTACTGACCCTCGCACTCAACCATGAGATAAGAGAAAGATGGGGCAGAAACACAAACAGTATATCAAACAAGTCCTGACAAAACCTAACCAGTATAGCAAAGCACCTTCTAAGGCGAAACCAATGCAAAAATAACCCCAGAATAACGTAACCAAATCACATAAGAGCCCAAACACTGAAGCAGAGCATCCAAAAACTAGGAAAAAACCAAGGGAGAGCCAAAAAAACAGCAAAACAAGGACAACACAGCCCAATAAAGGCACAATCGGTTCCCTAGGATGTGAGGGAGAGAGGAAAAATCAAGCAAAAAAGGGTGCACCAGTGACTTTCAAAAAATCACCCATTTTTGACGAAAAATCAAAAAAAATTGCAAAACTCAATCAATAATAACCAAAAAATAAAAAGGAGATTATAGGATGAAAGCCCATCAATTTTCGAGCATACTAAAATTCTTTTTTTCTTTTTTTTTTCTTTTTTTGAGACGTACCAGATACAAGAACGAGGGAAGGAAAGAACAATCTTCAAGGAGGAAGATATTGCTCTGATACCATGTTGAATGGATAGATGAGAAGGAGAAGGAGAAGGAGAAGGAGAAGGAGGAGAAGAAGAACTGTGAGAGAGAGAGAGAACCAGCTGCTGTATATATTATTCAAAACGTAGGGTTTCCCCCTTAACACACAACTATTTATACTAATAGGAATAAGACACAAAGACCAAAATACCCCTAACACTTAACAAAAAGATATCAGACAATCCAAGCTACAACTACAATAACTCCACTGCAGACAGATAAATTCAGAACCCAGCAGAGCAGTAAAACCAACAGATTCAGAATGAGGATGTCAAAAACATATGTTGAAAATATTTTCTCTCACAGCCTTCAAACAAATTGCAATTTCGCATTGCATATCCCACGCACTAGTAACTTTTCTTCTAAAATGAAGTGCTCAAATTTTTATGTTTTATTTTTAATTTAAAAAAGACAAACAGAACACATCCTTATGTTTTTGTTTTTAAGGAAATTTTCCTTCAAACATGAAAAGTGATGGGGCCTACAGTGTATTAACATCAATTTGCCATATGTGCATGAGCAAGCAGCATGCTATGCGAATGGAGAAACTGATCCAGTTCTTTTAATTGCAGTAAAAGTAAATATGTATGATCTTATAAAACTATTACCGTGAGTCCTCTGATCTACTCCAATACTTTGGAGCACAGCTATACTAGGATGGACTTCTGATGGACAAGACAAGGATCTAAATAACTAAACATTCAATTCAACCAGAAAAAGAAAGAAAAAAATAACTCAGGATGCATTCATGATAACCCAGGTAATAAGCTACTGTACTCTTAAGCAAGAAAGATGAAACAGCTAACATTATACAGACCTCTGCAATACGGGCAACACATTTTCCAGGTACCAATTAGCCGATGCATGGACAGGAGCTGTTTTAATTCTAGTGGCTCGTATTCCTGTACCATAATACTCCCTGGTGCTCCAAGAATATTTGCTAGGAAGCTCTTTCACTATGGAAACTTCATCATCCAGGACATTAATAAAGCGATCCACATCAAATATTTCACTGAATGGACTGCAGAACCACATGTGACTCTTTGTTAGTATCTACTTCTAGAGACTAAAACTACTATGCGGGAAGCAAAGCAAAAGTAAAGTTACTCATACTATACCTTGAATCTTTCCAAACAGGATTCACTTCAAAGTGTGGGATCACGAGTGTAGCATTTAAAATTTTAGCAACAGCAACTGCATCACAAATCTTTGGAAATAGAAACAAAAGAAGTTAAATCTGCAATATGTTCTTACTACAAGATAACTGATTGCTACAATTATTAATATGGAGTACATAAAAATTCTCATGTGCCTCATGCTCATAGAATATACGTGCTACATAAAACTCACATACCCCCATTCTCTGTTGGTTCAAGCCTCCATCAAGAAACACTTGGATATACCCCCGAGATTTCTTTGGCAATGCTACAAAGTACATATGTGTGTCATAAGAAGATTTCCATCATATGAAACCATGCTGATTCCAAGAACTCTTTCCTCTACTAGATATAATCATAGAAAATAGTAGAATACTAAGAAAGACAACATTTGAGATGGTACTAGTTTAAGGCACTCACAAGGGATATTTGTAGAGTCAATACATGGTTTCCATCCTTGGTTGGCCAGGGGAGACCAGAGCTCGGATTGTTGTCTGTCAGACTGATAATGCATAGTCAGAACATATATCACTTGAGTTCTGGAACAATTTACTGAAAGAAAACCAGATAGTTGGCATCTTGGCACATACTCACAGTTTGGCGTTGTAAAGCACTCTGTAATAGATGCAAGTGCATAGGCTTTGGAGCATTCCATTCCTAACATGGAAGAATTCTTTTGTTATAGGCAACAAGATTAAGGCCCTATTTGGCAAGATAATAACACTTCAGTTAAAGCTAAATGAACTTAATGATTTCACAGCTAAATGTGTTTGATAACATATGTATCACTTAGATCTAAAAATTGACTGAAAATGTGTCATAAATTTAAGTTCGAGAGGCTTGACTTGTCACGGAATGTTGCAAATGCTTAGTGAGAGGTAGTTTTCATTTTCATTTTCATTCTCACCTCACAGGTTTATCTTGAAATTTCATATTTAAAAAATCAGTACTTAAAAATTTCAGCGCTAAAAATTTTCACAACTTAATTTTCAGTTTTATCAATCAGGTTCTATTGTCTTAACATTGGCCATTACTATAGTAGAATGGATGCTCATGGATATAATGTAAACATTATTTTCAAAGTTGGAAACACATATGCATTCATAAAGGATGCATTTAAATAAACAAACAAACTGCTATATGGAAGCTACCCTAACTTTTTTTCTGGGCTAATTAAAGTAAGAAACAGGTACAGGTTGGCCATTATGACCATTGATGAACTGAATAACATAACAATAATTGCGTTCAATTGTGTTCATGACATCTCACCCGACATTGCCACATTTCAGAAAACTCAGCTATAGACTCATACAATAAACTGCATTTCAGGAAACAAAACCTAGACTTGTACAAGAAACAAAAATATCAACAACGGGATTAAAACATTTCAAATACAAGTTCTTAATTGACTTCTCACTGTTACACTAATCCATAAGTTTTGTGCAGCGAAACAAAAGAATTTACAGATTCCAAATCAAATCGAAATAGTTCAACTTTTTAGTTATTAATTCTGTTTCTTTTGTCTACTTGACGAATAATAATTCTATTCTAAATAAAGATTTTCTTTTGAATTGTTTGAGCTATTTGAGAGTTATCCAGCTTGAGTTACTGAGTACAAACAGTTTTGGGCCTCTACAAGTCAACCTAGGCTGACTATTTGAACAAACTTGGAATAAATTTAATCTGAAAGTCATTGAGACCTTGCCATTATCATTCAACAGGTAGTAGCAGCTCATAGTTTTCATAGGAATCAGGATTCACTAAAAAACCTAAAATGTAATCCTCGGATAATTTTTTTCATTAGCGTGAGGAAACAGCAACCTCAAAACCACCGAATTTCAACAATAAAATTTCTACTCCTTCCGTTTGATTGCTGAGGGGCAAAAAAAAAAAAAAAAGCAAATCAAAACAACACAAAGAGGCTTTTAATGGTTCAGATTTTCTCAGTAACCAAACAGAGAAAGAGAGAGAGAGAGAGAGACGTACGGAGAACATGGAAGGAGAAGCGCGGCCCAAGGGATCGAAGAGATTGGGGGAAAAGATTGGGAGGAGGAGCACCAAGAGGCCGGCGAAGGCAACTCTCTGAGTCTGGTTGCTATGGCTGTCTGCCTTCATGTCTTACCCTATATATGTGTATATGTATATATATATATATGCAGATATCAGAAGAAGTGGATCAGATCAACAAGTGAAAAGCCTCATCTCATAGAGCACGAAGGAACGTGAGTGAGGTTTGATCGTCGATTTGAGAATTTGACACGAGACCGCCATTGTTGTCGGCTAGGAATTCGCTCTCCGACGAGTGTACAAAGAGTCGGTCACCGACTCACAGTCGATTCGAACGAACGCTCCAATTTCCAAATAACGAACAATCACAGAGAGTTGTAGAATTGGTAATATCTAAACCCGTACGCAAAAATTTCAGGTGAATTTTACTTTTATTTTTTTAATTATATAATAATAATTATTATTTATTTCTATTTTTAAATTATCAAATTTATATATTTAGTCCTTAAAATTTTGAGAATTCAATATGAACCCCAAGTTAATAGACAAAAATATAATTTCAACAACTTAAATCATTCATGTTCATATCCAGTTTTATGATTTAAATCTCCCGATGCGGTATGAGAAAAGAGCCATAAGAGATTGATAACATTTTTTTAATAGCTTTCTTTTAATTTTAATACCAGCAATGAGAAGATCCGGGCTCATGAGAAAAGAGCCACGAGATTGATAGCATTTTTTTAATAGCTTTCTTTTTATTTTAATACCAGCAATGAGAAGTACTATCCCCTAGGCTCGCATAGGAATGCCAACGGGATGCTAGGAGAGAGAGCGAAAAGAGCTCCCAAGTGGAAAACTGAAGTAATTTTTTGAACGATTTTAGCTAAAATTAAAAAAAAAAAATTTAAAGACTATCTATTAATCCTAAATTTTAATTGCAACACACAAATGCAAGTTTCCATTGCTCTTTCACTAGCATCCACCCTTGAAGCTGAAAACAATAATCATAGACAAATCATTGCTTTTGTATATATTTTGCATAGATGAAAGTGATGGAGGTTTAGATTTGAATCAAATAATACACCAGTTCTGTTTGGCGTTGAGTTTTGTAAGTTGATCATCCAAGACAAAATTTACCTAACTTCTAATAATCTATATTTTTTCAACTTAAGCAATTTAGCTAGAACTCATACGAAACATTCTAGCGCACATTCCCAATATCAAAATTCATACATTGTCCCAATAAGTTGCACTCATCAGAAGCCTCCACCAATGCATGCCACGCAAGAGATCATACAAAATCAAAAGCGTCCTATAATATCACTCTCCAAACTAAATGGAAGACTTTGAGAGGTGTATACATTGTCAATCTCTAAAACCATAACACTATTGACAGCATGGCACTCAAATATCATATCCTAGTGAGATCCCATCTTTTAAGGTTAGAAAAGAGAGGATAAAAGAGACAAAGAAAAAGACCTAGCCATCCCAATTTACAATTGCTCATCTTCTGATAGACTTCTTGTGAGCCTTCTTTCCTCTTCTTCTAAGGGTAGTGTCAGTTTCAGTCTTTTAACCGGCTGAAGCTCATCTAACCCCAACTCCGAATCATCACCAATCCTTTTTCCAGCCTGTTGCTCATCTGACTCTAGCACTGAATCATTGCCGGTTCTTTCTAAAACCTTCTGTTCATCTGATTCGGGCACTGAACTATCTCCAATCAAACACGCACCATTCCCATTTTCTTGATTTGACAATCCAGGAAGATTATATGGACAAGAGATAAGATCATCATCATTACCGTCAGCATCATGATCGGAGTACTGAGAATTTTCAACCACATCACTAGGAACAGAGGCAAAGTTTTCAGTCAGACACACAACGTTTTCTGTTGATGGAGATCTTGGTTGAGCTATTCTCTCTTTACTAAGATCTTCATCTTCCTGATCTATGTTGTTTTGGTTGATCTTGACTTCTAAGGAATCATCAGAGGCACAAATTGATGTTGCTGGCGATGCGTCAATATCTTCATGCCCAGCTTGGTGAACAGAGATTCCCAGGTTCCAGGAAGTCTCTGCTCCAAAATCTCTGGATGAATAGGTAAAAACACAACCTTCGGGGGTGATTCCATTTAATTCCCGAAAACCGGTTCTGTTTGATGGTGAATAGACGAATTGCTTGCCAGGTTCTACATCTTCCTGTTACACAGAAACAAATGGTTATGCAATTTCCAGTCAAAACTTTGCAGCCTGTTGATGAAGCCAGCTAAGAAGTAGACATAGACCAAAAGAGCAAATAAAACTTTGAAGGTGAAACGAGCCAAATAAATTGTCGTTGCATCAACATGGATACAGGTTATGTGTCACTTTGTTTCAAGAAACCTTAACTAATTGCAATATACAACAACCACACCAGCTATAAAGCCATTTCATTCATGGGAAATGACTGCTGAGTGCTACCTTCCCTCGTATCTTTGAAATTCCTTTTTTTTTCCTTTTTTTTTCCAAATGCTTCTTTTCCCTAAAACCAAAAATACAATGATTTTTCTATGAAGAATCCAAATGTATCATACTATTCCTCTACTTTCTAAGGGAATGGGGAGGTTTTGGGATCTTTGTGCAAAAAATTCCTAACTAGTGTCTATTTCTTCACCTGTTTGACACATTATCATTACCATATGTCTACAAAAGCAAACTAAAACACAAAAAGAAAGTTCCTTTTTCCTCTTTCTCCAATGTCATTCACTTATTGATAAGAAAATCAATTACTAACATCTAGAGCCTGTTGAAAATCCCAAGCTTCATCCAATGACAAACCTGCAAGCAATCTTGTTACTTTCTGAAGTAAAAATTTATTCCACTTTTTGGTAGAAAATTGTTCCTTTAAATCTCAAGAATATACATGTTTTATAGCCCTTAAGAATTATGACAGAAAGTGCACTTCAATGCAATATCCCAACACAATGAGAGTTTGAATTGGAATATATCAACTTAGAGTGGTTGTAACCAAATTATTCAATATCACATGCCTATTTTGATTCCAATTATGCCAGATTATTAGAAGATGATGAAATGCAAAATACCTCAATTGATGACATAGCACCTTTAAACTCACTAAAAGATGGCGTTCGTTCAAAAGTTGGGTATTGTCCATTAAGAAATGCTAATGCAGATGCAGTGGCTCCTGCCTCCAAAAACTCCCTTAAAACTGAGCCTGAATCACTAGTAAATTCAGAACTCTTGAACGAAGAAGATGGCAATAAAGTTAATTCAATCCCCTGACTAGCTTGAGAGCTTGATAAATTCCCATGACAACTCTTTAAATGAATGTGTCTCTCTGAAGTAAAATCCACACCGGCTTCAATCTCATTTTTACTTTCAGGGTAGTCAGAGGCACAAGGCTCGCCGCGGCAAGCAGCTGGAGGGTTTTCCCTTTCAAGGATTTCGCAGATAAGCCTCTGGATGTGAACACGTTTGAGAGAAGGCTCAGCAGGCGGAAACCAATCCATGTTAAGCTGGAAGAGGGACATGTCATTTATGTAAAACAAAAAGGCATTAAAATGAAAAAGCCATGAATTAAACTGAGATTCCTGTGAGACACATTAATAAAATTAATTCTTAAAAAAATTACTAATCAGTATAGCTGACTATTAAAAACAATCTTAAGAAGCATTTTAGGATATCCAATTCTCAACAGTTGATAGCAGAAGGTAGTTTGAACCCAAGGTCCTGAAAGCAATTTTCAGCACAAAATTTGACAATCAAAGGCTCATAGACATACATCCATATTCAGTAGGGCTTTTAAATCTGAATAGGTCCACACAGTAGACCAATTAAAACCCCTAAAGCAAAGATTTCAGGATCTTTTAAAATATTGGGGAAAAGAAATCAGGCCTTTTCCCTTTGAACAATAAGATAGGATGCATTTCAATGTGTGCCCACATAACTAAATAAGGATGAAATTTCCAACGAGATGCACAAAAAATAGATTGATAGATGAAGGCATGGGTGGGTCCACATGAATCTTAGTGGTGTCACTTGGCCCCACTCAAATTTCAAAAAGACGCGCAAGTTGAATATTGTTCATAATTTTAAGATTTTTAAAAATTGACCCCATTAGAATCTTATTGAAACTATAGAAATGGGTTCAAAAATTTTTTTCTTCTTCTTCATAGATTTATTGTCCTAAAATAATATTCACTAATCAAAATCTATGCATGGTTTCCTTTGTTAGAAAGAGAATATTAATGATTTTTATAAAATCAGGTACTTATATTTTGATTTTTTATTAAAAGTTTGGTAGCATATGTAATTACTCTCCTTTCATCTCCTTTGGCACAAATTTCTTCATGTACATGTATGTTTGAGTTGATGCTTTTGTCACCAAGAAGCGGATTCAATATATTAATATTTTATCCCATGACAATATTGTGGAATCAGTAATTTGTTGACACTTACATATAATAGTTTTGTCAATTTTATATGAAATTAGTCATATGATTTATTGCATATGGTCACGAACTACTTCCCTTTACACTATTGTGGCAGAAATTCTAAACAACCATCCAGCCAAAGAATCCATGAAGGAAATAAAAACCCCATCTCACATGATACAAACAATAAAATAAGATTAAAAAAAAGAGGCTCTGAACAATCTCAAAATGAGAAACAGATATAATGAGAAAATTATGCCCCACCAGTGCACGTAGAATTGGTATCATCTGGTTCCACTAGTACTAATATATCATCCAAAGCAAAGCATTAAGACCAAAGAATTAAAACAATTGGAAGCTCAGGGAATTAAGTGAGAACTAGGAGTCCACTTACAAAGTTGGAGAACTTTGTTATTTTGAAAGGGCTGAAGTTAAGAGGAGCATCCCCCAAAAAGCGTTCCACATAGTGGAGCAAGAAGAGACCACAATCAAATGAATTTTGCTGCTGTGGTAGCTGTACAAAGCATAAAGTAAACGTCAGTACAACCCTGTACTTACCCCTACCCAGAGAGAGAGAGAGATAGAATTAAGCAAGGTCAGAGTACAAGGCAAACACATATTAATACTCTACCCATCTATTTGCTTACTTTTTGGTGTTCAAACCAGATTAATGCACAGGTTTTCATCTGGCTGATTTTCAAAGAGCCTAGAATCTCTCAGGTATAATTTCTCAATTCTATATTCCTTTTGAAGCTAGATATCCTATTGACTCCTTTGCTTCGCTTTTTGTTGCATATCTTGTTTCACTTTAAACTTCTAAACCTCCTGCTCAGGAATATGTTCCAATGAGTTGATAAACCTCTCGAAAGAGATAAGAAGACAACTACAATTGCTAGAACCACCTCTCTTCTCAAAAACTACATAATTATTTACTGAACATACAGTACTTTGGGATTGTATTTAATAATAAATTACAATTATTCACTCAGCTTCATAAACCTCTTCTGGCAATTATTTACTCACCCGAATATCAGATAACAAAATCCATTGAAAATTTTTCTATTGCCTTCATCACGTCTTTGACTTTGAGAATAACTAATTAGATAAAGAAAACTGAAAATGGCACCTCATTACCCTAACTAATATATTACAGGTGTAAGTGTAACATTAAGATGCCTCATCTCAGCCCCTCAACTTCATTTCTTTCCTTCACCATCCTAGAAACTAGAATCTGCTTTTACAATGAGCATCGCTTGAAAGTGGGACAAATCTCAAATTAAAAAATAAATGCCAAATATTAGCTGAGAGCAGACGCAATACCTCAAGTGGGACAAATCTCAAATTAAAAAATTTTGAGGAGAAATCTTCAGATGCCTCCTTTTGCCTCTCTTTCCACTCCTCCCATAGGTAACTGTAAATTGAAACCACCACCCCCCCCCCCCCCAAAAAAAAAAAAAAAAAAAAAAAAACAAGAAGTGAAGTTTAACAACTATCAAAATCAGCTATTAAAACAGTTACAAGTTGGATACTTAGACATTAACAAGGTACAGACAAATGTAAGCCTTAAACAAAAAGAAAAACTAGATAGCAATTGACAATTAAAGTTAAAACAAAGGGCAAATTACACTCGTAGTGCACGTTGTTTGTCCCTTGTGACAATTTAGTCCTTGTCGTTCTAAAAGATCCTATTCAAGTCAAAACGCTAAGTCTGCATGAATCGACCTCAGCTAAAATTATAACGAGCTACAATGACTAGTTTTCATCAGTTCTAAAAACTGACAGAGCTTTAAGTTTGGAAAAATGTATATAAGATCTTTATTTTACATTTCGGTATCGACAATTAATGATAGAAAAAAGATTATAACCTATGAAGCAGACACTTCAAAACAAGTGTCGACGTGCCGTAGTAGTGTCAGGCATGCCATACACAGCGGAGACACGTATGAAAAAATATTTTATTGTCATATCCTTACCATGTCTGTGTTTGTGTCCCAATTTTTTTTAAATCACTGTGTTGTGTGTCTATGTCTGTGTCTGTGTCCACATATGGGTCAACGCCCGTGCTTCTTAGATTATATAACGAAGAAACATAATTTCCAACAGAGTTTAGTGCAACTGCCTTACAAATTCCTCTTCTAGATCAACTCCACTAACATAAATACGTTCAATGGAAGTTAAAAAAGAAGCATAAAAAGAAAAATTGGATAAGCAAAAAGCCTTAATCTTCAAAGCAACAAAATATATAAATCAATTAATGAAATTACATGATGAATTTCAAAACAACCATAGTACCTCTGAACAAGATCTTTCAGGCCTGTATGAGTTCCCTTGATAGAATCCATATGCAATATGCATGGCACTTTAAGTGACTTCTCCATGTCTACATCTGAAATATTATGGCATACAGGCATCAATAAGAAAAGATTAGCAATTTGCCACACATGAATCACAAGAACTGTAAGTTCTAGAAGAACTAGCCTTGAAACTTAGAGATTTCACCAGGATGACATATTACGATTAAGCTCCAGTGATAACTATCAATAACACATGTACACATTGCAAGTAAGTCCTCGATTTAAGATCTTTTCTAACGAAAAGAAAAGAATTGGTCAGCTAATGACTTACTTAAAGTTTACAGGAATGAAGACATAATCCTTTTCAAATAGATTCACTTTTCTTGTCCATTTACGAACACGCTGAAACGCAGCCCTGCCTTCAAAAGCACTAGATGGATCTTTATCAAGGTCAATCAGCTTCCGAAAGAAGAAACTGTTAAAAAAATGGAATCTTTGCCTCTCCTGAGGTTGCATTTCATTCTTCAAATATCTGTCATCAATCATTATGTTCAGTGAAGCATGTTAGATGCAGCAAAGCAACTATGGTAAAATCCTCAAAATGAAAAGTAAAGAAAAAGATATAGGAACCCACTAATACTGCACCAAAAAAAAAAAAAATCCAATTAAAGTCATTTCATTTATGTAAACAGGTTTTCATCTGGCTGATTTTCAAAGAGCCTAGAATCTCTGTAGTTTGAGTGCTATCACCTGCCACCCAAAAAAAGGGTCAAGTCTAAGGGTAGAACTGTTAAATCTTCCAATTCAGAAGTTGACTTTCTTTTAGGCCAAAGAAAATCATTTGCTTCTCAACAACTCTTGAAAACCAGAATTAGATAATGTAATGCACAAAGTAACATACTTGATGTAGAAATCAATGATTGTATCATTGACAAATGTGTCTGGCTGTAATAGATCAACATCTCTCTTACTAATGGAAACAGCATCAGCATCACCCTTGGGATAGACAACTTCCTCAAAAGGCTCATCAAACCTGCAACATTTGACATTGATTTAGCGTACTCATAAAGAATGAAGCATAAATTAAATATATTGTGTTGCTTATTAAAATAATCTATACTATTACATAGCGCAAAGGCTTCAGTTGGCATCCTAAAGCCTTTGCATCTCTTTATGCCAAGTGTCCCATTTTTCTATATAAAAATAAAAAAAAAATAAAACCTCAATTTGTATTCGAGGGTGGGAAGACTTGAACCCAAGACCTTAGATTTAAGGAAGAATACTCTTACTACTTGAGTGGCACACGACATATAGTAAGTGCTTTGTTTTGTTTTTACTTATTTGAATTGCACATGTGCACCAAACACTAGTTAATTAATTAATTAAGGACATTGAAGAAAAGCTAGAAGAGGAAATTGCAAGTCAACTTTAAGATAAGATCTAAAAGCTAAATTCCAATTGTAATAACTACACTACAAATATCAAGAATAGTAACACCACTTACTTTTACAAGTTCAACATCGGTCCTGTACATATTTGTGTGTATTCAATACGTGACAATTATATACATGTATATGTATATATATTTACATACACACACTAGCAATATCCGATAGTGGCTACCTAAAAAAAGATTAATCCTTTCAATAAAGAGAACATGGATGCAAAATCAACAGCAAAATCATAGTAGGATAAACCATCACAAACTAAAATAATCATCTGTATATTTACCAAGCAGCCCCTCAATTTTTCCCACTCATCAAAACTTAGTAATAATACTAATGTAACATAAGCACAAGCACAAACCAAGCAGACTTCAGCACCACCAACATGAAACAAAAGTGCCGAGTAAACATTTATTTAGACAATTGCACACATCAATCAGACTTCGGCACCACCAACCTTCCTTTATATCATTACAAATATTTGGGATGCTTTGATACCTGGGTGACATCCCCAGATCACCCACTTCAGATCTTGTGCCTAGACACACACACACTGAATGTATACCAAATTACTCTTCGAACATGTCTTCCATTATAGATACAACTTATCTCTTTATCCTTTAGCCTTAGTTATTGCTTGCCACATTTGCTGAAAACGTAAATATTCCTTCTAGTTTCAAAGAGGTGAACACAGTTGAAACAACTCATTTGTATAACCTTCCACTTCAACAATTCTAAAACAAAAATCATTAAGTGCACATCACTCGTGCATTTGGACAAGAAGTCACAAAATATACTCCTGAATGCTTATTTTGTTAGAATATTTCTATTATTTGTTTCCTTACTTAGATTATTCTGTATTCCTTGATTAGTGCCTTAGGACTCTCCTTGTAACAGTTGGTTGATGAATATAAAAAGGGATGATAATGTCATTCCCTAAGTTTTGATTTTCTCTAAAACAAACATGGTATCAGAGCTTTAAGGCTAGTATCTCACCTTCCATCATCACCCATCTGCAGCCGATCATTACCCACCCTGTTTTGGCCCATCTCTCATCTTTCTAGGGCTCACAACAGCTTCTAACCACAGCCGGAGACCACCCAGCACCTTCCGACAACCACTCTGTCAGCGTCGGCCCTTGCTGATGCTTCTCTAAGGGTCGCTCACCATCTACGACAGTCTCTCTGTTGTTTGGCACTTCCGACACCCTCTCTGTCCGTATCAGCCCTTGTTGATGCTTTTCTAAGGGCTGCACACCATCTACCACCCTTCTGTGGACAGCTTCGTGAGCCCCTGCTGGTCTTGTTTCTTCTTTTCTTGGGTTGGCATGTCTACCCAGTCGACCATATGCATTGATTGACCCATCTAAAATTTGGATCTTTACCTAAAGCTAAGTTTTTTTCTTTTGAGAATATTCCAGCCACTGTTTTGATTGGAGGATACTTTATTTTATTTTATTTATCTTTCAGGTCCTTATATGGCCCCCTTACCCAGCTTTGACTGATTGGTATACTCCTATCATGGTCTGTAATTGATATTACTTGGTCCAATTGATTTTAGTTGATTTTATTCCCTCTTCCAGTATTTGTGATTAGTGCAAGTTGTTATTCAGTTTGCAGAATCTAAATGGCTGACCTTACTAGAGAATCCACCACTACTTCTCAGCCGCCTACAAGCTACATTACACGGACTCGGCTATGGGTATCGGGTGCGGGTGTGTATCTAGGGGTCGGACATCTCAAAATTAAAAATTGAGGATACGTAGATATGGATCCAAATTTGAATATGGGTACGGGGATACGTTAAATAGTTGGTTTTTTAAAATATATTTATTATATAAAGATGAGTTAAATAGTTATTTTTTAAATATATTTATTATTTTTTATCTTATGTATTATTTTTATTGATAATATTTTTAATTTATTTTTTTACTTTTAATTGACATATATATATTATAAATAAAAAATATATAATAAATAAGGAATAACAAATTATGTTAAAATAAATAATGTAATTTATAGATTTTATTAGATTTTTTATTTTTTTTTATTATATATGATTTAATTAGATATTATTATATAACAAATTATATGATTTATTTATTATATGGTAAACCAGAGACAAGAGAAGAGCGAGAGAAGAAAGAAATAGATCGACAAAAGAGTGGAAGAGAGAGAGAGAACATATCGATAACAGGGAGAAAACAGATCGGGGAGAGAGAGAGAGAGAAGAAGAAGAAGAAAAAGAGGAGATGGATCGACTGAGAGAGAGAAGAGGAGATCGACAGAGAAGATCGATTGAAAGACGAGATCGAAGAATCGATTGGCGCGAGACAGAGACGAGGTCGATCGAGAGATGAGATCAAGAGTGAAGGATCGATTGGGGTGAGATCGAAGCCTGCGACTAGAGAGAAGTCGACGACCAGGTTCTTGCTCTCTCCTCTTTCCATTCTTCTGTACTTAGGGCTATTTCGTTGCTTCTATATTTAGGGCAAAACATAGTTGTATCCATTTGTAATGAGCCGTATCCCGGCCGCATCCCGCACCCGTGTCGTGTCGTGTCGTGTCGACACGGGTACCTCCGAAATTTTAAAGAGTCCGTGTAACATAGCCTACAGGGGGAGTCCCATTATGATTACTACATCTGAAAACCTAAATCCTAACATAAAAATCACCACCTCCCCATTTAATGGTCAGAATTACCTTGCTTGGTCACAATGTCTGACACTCTTCTTGAAGAGTAGAGGGAAGATGGGCTATGTTGATAGGAGGATCCCGGCACCAAGCATCACTAATCTGAGCAATGACCAATAGGAGATTACCAACTCTTTGATCATGGGGTGGCTCGTTCATTCCATGGTTCCTGAGCTTGGTGAAGGTTATTTATCCATGGGAGACTGCCCAAGACGTTTGGGAGGAAGTAGCTGCTACATATTCCCGAAAGGCAAATTTTTCTTAGACATTTGAGTTGCACCGATCTATTGAGCGCTCAGTACATGGGGAACAGACAATTCTTCAGTATTATACCTTTCTGACTAATGGTTGGAAACGTTTAGATCATCTCTTGGATTACAAACCTGTCTGCACAGTTGACTCAGTTAGTTATCGAAAGTTTCTTGCCCAAGAGAGAGTCTTCAAGTTCCTGGAAGGCCTCAATGTGGAGTTTGACCCTATTCGGAATCGTGTCCTTGGCATGGATGTTCTTCCATCTCTTCAGGTGGCCTTTGCTTATGTCCAGAATGAAGAAAGTCATCATTCTGCTATGTTACCTCCGACTTCTATAGACCGATCAACATTACTTTCTGCACCTTCTCGGGATGGGGCTAGTTTGCCACTTCCTTCTTCTCATCCTTCCGGGAAGGATAATTTGTTCTGTGATTACTGTCGTCGACCAAGGCATACCCATGAGACTTGTTGGAAGCTTCATGGGACTCCATCAGCAGGTCGAGGAGATCACTCTGGTCATCAAGGCGGTCGTTCTAGTTAGTCAAGAGGAAGTGGGTCTCACTCTCGTGCTCATTAATCCAGTACTATAGAGCCATATGATTCCTCTTCAATGATGCAAACTTCTGATCTAGTCTCTAGTATGTCATCCTCTGAGTTTGAGGACGCTATGCACAATCTGTTGGATCGATGGTCTCCTATTCTTCCAAGCGCATCTTCTGCTTCTTCATCGTTTGCATGTTCAAGTAACTTAGCCTCATCTTCTAGTGCCTTTTTATCCCATAAGACCTTGCCTTGGATTATTGATTCTGGTGCCTTAGATCATATGTCTGGGTCTTCTAATCTCTTCTCAGACTATACCCCAACCTCCGGTCAGGATAAAGTTAGGATTGCCGATGGTACTATTTCCTCTGTCTCTGGGAAAGATTTAATCTGTGCCACCCCTTCTCTACCTTTGTCTTCTGTTTTACATGTTCCTAATTTTTCTGTTAACCTATTGTCTTTAAGTCGTCTTACTTACGATTTGTATTGTAGTGTCACATTTTTCCCTGATTCTTGTCTTTTTCAAGACCTTCTCACGAAGAAGACGATTGGTAGTGGTAGAACAAAAAATGGTCTCTATGTCCTCGATCAGACTGACCAGTAGCAGGCTCATCATTCCATCCAGTCTCTATCGACCAAGGAAGATTTATGGCTGTGGCATCACCGTCTAGGACATCCATCTTTTTTATTACTTCGGTAATTATTTCCTTCCGTTTTCATTACAAATAAAGTCTCGGAGTTTCATTGCGAGTCCTGCCAACTTGGCAAACAACACCGAGCTTCTTTTGCTCCTAGTAATAATAAAAGTTCAGTTCTTTTTTCTTTAATTCATTCGGATGTTTAGGGTCCCTCTCGTATAAGGTCTATGAAGGGTCATCGATGGTTTGTTACTTTTATAGATGATTGCTCTCGTACTACTTGGGCGTACCTCCTGCGAAAGAAAAGTGAAGTTTTTTCTGTGCTCCAAAACTTCCATAAGATGGTTGGTACTCAATTTGGGGCAGTTGTCAAAGTCCTGCGTTCTAATAATGGGGGTGAGTACATTGATAAGGGGTTGGCCCAATATTTTTCCACTCATGGCATTGTCCATCAAACGTCTTGCACTGACACCCCTCAACAGAATGGTATTGCTGAGCGCAAGAACCGTCATCTCCTTGATGTGGCTCGGTGTATGTGTTATTCTATAGGTGTCCCTTGGGCCTATTTGGCTGAGGTTGTTCTCACTATTGCCTATCTCATTAACCGTCTTCCTACCCAAGTCTTGCAGAAACGGGCACCTCTTCAAGTACTCTTAGGTTCTGAGTCTCGATTTTCCATTCCTCCAAACCTTTAGGCGTGTGTGCTTTGCTCACAATCATTCTCCTTCTGGGAGTAAGATGGGTCCTCGTTATCTCAAATGTGTGTTCTTGGGTTACTCACCTACACAAAAAGGGTACAAGTGTTATCATCCTCCCTCTTGTAAATAGTTTGTGTCAATGGATGTCACCTTTTTTGAGTCTCAATCCTACTTATTCTCTAGTCCAATGTCCCAGGCATCTCTTCAAGGGGAGTGTTGGTGTGTAGAGAATCCAGTTGCTTCTATTATTCCTGATCCATTATCACTGCCAGTGGTATCTATCACTAGCAATATTGAATCCGATGTTGCCAAGAATAAAGAAGGACAGGTCTATTTTATGGATAAAGAAAGGCATAAAGTTACTTGGATACAAGAGATCATTTCTGATCAATCATTGCCGTCTCCTTCTCTCGATAAAGGTCCCGCTAACCCTGAAACTCCTGAGCTTGAGCCTACTGATCTTGATATACCCATTGCCAAGAGAAAGGATATGAGATCTTACACTCATCATCTTATTTCAAACTTTGTGTCTTATTCTCGTTTGTCCTCTTCATATAAAGCCATTGTGTTTAAAATTTCCTCTATTAGTATACCTAATCATTTTCAGGATGCTCTTACTACTCCTGAGTGGAAACTAGCCATGGTGGAGGAAATGAAAGCACTTCATAAGAATGACACTTGGGATTTGACTGAGTTACCTAGGGGCAAATGAACTGTGGGATGCAAATGGGTATATACTATGAAGCACAAGACGGATGGTTCAATTGAGGCCCGGCTTGTGGCAAAAGGTTTTATTCAGACCTATGGGGTGGACTACTAAGAGACATTTGCTCCAGTTGCTCCAGTTGCGAAGATGAATTCAATCAGAGTACTCATCTCTCTAGCGGCTAATCTGGATTGACCACTTCATCAGTTTGATGTGAAGAATGCTTTCCTACATGGTGACCTAGAAGAGGTGTATATGGATATTCTTCTTGATTTTGAAACTGTTCAAACTAAGGGTAAGGTGTGTTGACTTCAAAAGCCATTATATCGCCTCAAATAGTCTCCTAGGACTTGGTTTGAAAGGTTCACTCAAGCTATACCGAAATACAGGTTCAAGCAAAGTCAAGTTGATCACACCTTGTTTGTGAAACACTCCTCACATGGTAAGACCACAGCTCTTATTGTTTATGTTGATAATATTGTTCTGACAAGAGATGATGTTGAAGAGATCCCTCAGTTGAAGGAATACTTAGCCAAGGAGTTTGAAATCAAAGATTTGGGTAATTTGAAGTAGTTCTTGGGCATTGAAGTAACTCGGTCCAAGGTTGGCATCTTCATATGCCAAAGGAAGTATATACTTAACTTGCTAAAAGAAACTGTGATGTTTGGAGGTAGACCATGTAATACACCTTTAGAACCGGGCCAAAAACTGAGGATCAAGAGGGAGAGCCAGCGGAGATACCAGAGGCTAGTGGGCAAGCTCATATACTTATCTCACTTGCGTCTAGACATTGCCATTGCAGTAAGCATTGTTAGCCAGTTTATGCATGCTCCTAGAACTTCCAACTTAGAGACAGTTATAAGAATTCTGAGATACCTGAAGACTTCTGCTGCAAAGGGTCTCTATTTCTCGAAACATGGATATCTTGGTATGAAGGCATTTACTAATGCGGATTGGACTGGATCAGTTACTGACAGACGATTAACCTCTGGATATTGCAC